TGCGGGGAGGGCAGCCGCTGTGGGTGCAGAGCAGGTGCCTGCTGGATATGGGCATGGGAAGCAGAACCCGGCGGAACCTGGCTGGACGGCTGGGAGGCTGAGGGGGAGCCCTGCGGAGGAACGGCAGAGGGCGTGGGCCCCGGGGTGGGAAGCTGGGGCGCTCCTGGGGGGGCTGTGGAGGGAGCTGGAGCAGCCCCAGTGGGAGCCTGCAAGGCTGGGGGCTGGGCCTGCAGGGTCTGCTGCTGCGCAGAGGAGTCCGAGTCACTCTCATTGTCCTGGGGGCTGGGGATGCTGGGGGACGTGCTGCGATTGTCCTGGTCGATGTCTTTGGGGTCACTGCTGCCCTCATCGTTGACGCTGCGGCTGTCAGAACTCTCCCCCTCGCCTTCGGACGGCGAGTTGGGCCGGCTGATCTCCTGAGGCGAGAGGTGAGGAGGGACGCTCTAGTGTGCCCTGCGTGGCCAGAGCCTGCACACGCACAGCAGGCAGCCAGCTTGTCCTCAAGGACCAGCGGTCCTGCCCTGACCCGGCCCCTCCCTGGGAGAGAGGGCCCTGCCACCCCCTCGGGAGACTCGGCGGAGGGCTCCTCAGGCATTCGCTGCAGCTGCAGGCCCCACCTGGGTTTTCGTCTTCTTGGAGCTGGTCCTGTCGGCCTCCTCTGTGTCCGAGGCCACCTTCTCCCGCTGGCGCTTGGTGCTCTTCAGGGGCGACGAGACTCCCTCCTTCACCTTCTGCAGGGGGCAAGCGCACAGGGGGTCAGCCGAGAGGGGTCCCCTCAGCCTCGGGGGCAGGATATGGTGACTGGGTGCTGACACCCCGTCCCACAGTCTGAGCTCTATCTCCAGAAGCAAGAAAGCTCTGGAAGGAGAGCGCCAGAGCCAGGCAGGAACAAGCATCTTCAATCACCCCCCTGTGCCTTCCGCCTCAGAGGCCTTAGGTACATGTTTTGCTGTGAGTAAAAACATGTACCTCAGGAGCCCCGAAATGTCAGTGCTGGGAGCTGAGCTGGACCCCCTTCTCCAGGCCCCAGGCCCCAGGCTGCAGCCCCAGGCCAGGGCAATGCTGGTTCCCTGGGAGGCTCCGTGGATGAGCTGCGGCCCGTGTCAGAGGGAGCAGAGCACCAACTCCAGCCATCAGGCTGTCCTGGAGGGTGGGCCCAGCAGCGCCCCCACCCCCACCTCTTACCTTGGCCAGCTTCTTCACAGTCTCTGCTTTACTGTCGTTGCTGGAGGTGCTGGCAGCGCTGGGGGAGTTCCGGCCACTGGAGCGGATGTCTTCATTGGTGGGCGAGGTGCGACCATCAGGGCTGGCTGGCTGCTTCTTTCGACCACTGCGCAATGTCGACATCTGCCCACCCAAACCCGGGGCTGGTGAGACTGGACCCCAGCACACACACAGGGGCATCAAGAGCAGACCCCACTGTTGGCCTCGTGCCAAATCCCAGCCCCTGGCAAACAACAAGCACCCTGGCTGTCCCTCACGGACAGGGTCAGTATGGAGTGAAGGGAGGAGGGGTGAGTGGGTGGGTTCACATGGAAAAGCCATTCTCGGCTTCACCCCACGAACTTGCCTCTGGGACCCTCCTGAATGACGGGCTGGAAGTGAGCAAGGGTTTCTGAGGGGCCTCCGTCAGTGGGGACAGTCCCCTCGCCACGCTCTCCAGAATGACAATTACACAGTCAGCTCCCAGTCACCTCGTCTTTGTGCTTATTCCAGGTAACTGCCCAACCCAACCCAAACAGCACCTGCTGTGCCACCTGCCAGGAGGGGGTGACCCAGAGACACGAGCTGTCAAATAACGCGGCTCAGCTCCTAGACCACCGAGCACATCAGCACGTTTCTGCAAGGCCACGGGGGCTCCGAAAAGACAGGGCACAGTGACTCACGCCGGCCCACCTGCTCCTGTGAGCGAGCAGCAGTCGGGCGGGCAGGACCTAGGGTCAGAGGAAGGTGGAGGTGCCACCCACTTGCCTAAAAGGCCCGACCTGGGAGAGCCCTCACTCTCAAAGGTCCCGGCTGCATTTCCAACCTGGAAAACAGTCTCTTTATGGAAGGATGAGGCTTTGCTGTGAGTAAAAACATGTACCTAAACGTTTCCAAAACTGGATCAAACATTTTAAAAAAGCCAGAAAATTTCAAATAGCAGAGCTATGTGCCCTTAGAGACCAGCCACGGGCCAGAGGGAGGTCGAAGGGACTTGGAGAGCCTGCCCTGAGGCAAAACCGAGACCCATGGCCACACTGACGCCCCAGGAGGGAGGGAGAGGACAGCCCACAGGAAAGGCTAATGCCTCTGGGCAAACGGTTTCAGTCTCGGGGTGCCTGCACCCCGGCATCCTAGGAAGCTGGAGGTGTGGCCGGAAGGCTCGGTCGCCGGCCCCGGGACTCACCGAGCCTCGACTCCGCCGCGTCCTCATGCTATGTTTCCCGCTGAGCCCATCGTCTTCCTCTTTGACGGGTTTGAACATAAAGGGCGGGGGGTCCACGGGCTTCTCGATGGGCGGGAGCTCGCCGTATTTCTTGAAGTGGATGCGGCAGTCTGTGCAGAGCAGGATGTTCTCCCGGCCCCCGTGGTGCCAATCTTTGGAGGCTGCGTGAGGGAAGGGGGGGTGGGGACCAAACCTCAAAAACCAGTGTCCTTGGGGCATCTGAGCAGGGGGCTCAACCCACCCAGGTGCCATGAGAACCGCGCAGTACTGGGCTCGGGCAGACACCCGACACTCACACAGCTCAGGTACTGGTGCTGCCCTGCTCTCTCCCAGGACGACAGCATTTCAGGAAACCCCTCCCCACTTATGTTGGGGTACCCAGGAGGAGCGACAATAGCTGCCCTGGCCCCAACCTTGACCATGTCTGTCCTACCCACTGATCAGCATTCTGTACTGAATTCACGGGGGGGTGGGGGGTGGGTGAAGTAAAGTAAAATCTCCAACTTTCTGCAGTAACCCTGAAGCACAACCCAATGCCAATGTCAAAGCCCCACTCACTGGTGCTGAAGCAATGGCGGCAGGCGTAGCCCTTCAGCTCCTGCTCGCTGTCCTCACTGTCAAAGTCGTCCTCACTGGCCGAGCTCAGGTCCACTGGGCATGGCAGGCATACAACAGGGTGAGGGTTGGGGGACCGTCACACTCGGCCTGCCCCAGGCTCTGAGCCACCAGGCCGAGTGGCCCAGTAGGCTGAGGTAGGACCCTCTGAATTTCTCAGGGCCAGTCTTCACAACAAAGTACTTGTGTGTGAGGGGAGGTTGGGGGGGGGGGTACCCAAGAGCTTGCCCTGCTACATTGCTGGGGGCTGGTGTCACACCTGAAACCTGGGTGGCGGGCACCCACAACCGGTGAATCTGAACAGGGTGAAGAGCACCCGTGGTGCCTCCTGACACACCATCCTGAGGACCTGCCTCTGGCCAGTGCCACCCGCCAGCCCTGGGTGACCCGATGGCTTCTTGTTTGCATGTGCAACTTTAGCGACCCTTGGAGGTCTGTGCCCTGGACTCTATCTACTGCTGCATCCTAGTGTTTAGGGTTAGTGGGCGTGGCTTCATTGTCATATCACACGTCACACTGGGACCGCGAGGAAGAGCTTGGTATGGCAGGAGGAAAAAGAAAAAATGTTAATCTGCTCTTATTGCTACCACAATCCAAGTGCAATGAAAACTCAAACAGTACACCGTCTACCGAGTGGAACAACCTCCTCAAGTTACCAAAACCCTCAGGCCAAGGCCAAGACTTACTTTTGTAAAAAATTAAAATGACGTTGTGTTTACTAGAAAAATTTAAATGAACGAATAATCTGTAAAACTCTCTACCACATCCCAAGTCAGTGTGACACTCAGGCCAGGCTGTGCACTAGCACACGCCTGCACGTGCGCACACGGTTCCCGGGCATCAGCTCCAGCCGTACGCTGACAAGGACGCCGGTGAGTGCAGGCCCAGAACTGGGACACAGCGTGTGAAAACCCCCCACTTACAGAATTCACTGGAGGGGGGTCTGGAAGGTGTGTTGACGGGTGTGGACGCAGTGCGGGTCTTAATCCTCCTGAACACAGCCTGCCTGCGGTGCCTGCGATGGGCCCGGGAGCTGGCTGCCTCTGGGGTTTTCTTCCAGTAGTAATAGAAGGTGATCAGTTCCCCCTGCAGAAAAGAAGGACTGGCGTGAGGGAGGTGTCTGGAGGGACTTGGCGCCCCCTGTCCCCTCTGTGGGAGCAGAAGCTGGTTTGTACCAGCTGTCTACCCGGGAGACCAGGACCAAGAACAGTTTGCTCCTGGGGTCAAGAGGAAAAAGCTGGGCAAATGGGGCCTGTCACCTCCGCCCAGGAGAGCACACCTTCTAGACGCCGGGAACATCCATTCACTCAACAGGGATTGTGGATGCCTACTAAATGCCAGGTGCCACCTCTGTTCTGAGCATTGGAGGTGCATCAATAATTCTAACCGCGCACGTGTGTGTGTGTGTGTGTGTGTGTGTGTGTGCGTGTGGAACTGTTCGTTCTTCACTGCCTTCCAGTGAAATCCAGGATGAGGAACCACCTGGCCAGACAGATGACTCCAGAAATAGTCAAGGATATAACGGAGGTGGCGGAGACCTCGGGCCAGGTGGGAGGTCAGGAAGAGCAGAAACCCCAAACCAAAAACTGCTCCACAGCCCCCATTCCAATCTGAGTGCCCACACTGGGACGAGCTGGCACCAAGTCCGAAAGGCAACGACGGGGGCTTGACAAAGAAAGACTAAGAGTGGACAGACAGTGGTGCTGCTGTGCAGATGAGATGCCACATGTCACCAGGTCAGTCTTCAAGGCAAAAAGAGCTTCTTTTTTCATGGCCCCGCAGAAAGAGAGCCAAGGCATCTCCTAAAAAGATAGCACTTTTGGCACTGCAACTCCAGGGACAGCAGGCACCAGCCACACAAATGGGTGCATGGCATTCAGCTAACGAAAGACCGATTTCTTTAGACAAAAATCCCAAGATAAAATATCTTTAACTTAAAAACAAACAAACAAAACACTTAAGGCAGCGAGAGAGCCACGCTCAGATTGATCTCCTCTAATTAAATAAATATTGCACAAAGTCAATTAACTTGGCAGATGACGGTATCCTAGGACGTCACCCTGGGGGATGTCACCTGCGCACCAGTGCGGCCCACCAGAGGCTGAATGCCTGTGAATGGAGGAGCTAAGAAAGAGAAGATTCTGCTTTCCAGACCAGAGAGCTAGGTCAGTGTTGGAAGGACTGAAAAAGACAAAGAAGCGCAGAAGCCACGTAGGCACGCATGCGACGGAGTGCCCATCAGACGAGGTGTCATTAAAAACACTGCAGAAGACCGAAGCACGATGGCAGGAAGGTGGCAGGGAAGTGGGCAGACTTTGGGTGGGAAAATGGCTTCTGCAAAGCAGGCAATTGTGTGCTCAGCACTCACTGCCCAGGAGCGGGATTCTCTGCCTGGGCATTTCCTGAGGAGGACACAGTTGTCACCAGGGCCTGAAAGGATCAGCACAAGCACACAGCACGCCTCTCTCGGAGCGGGGATGTGCTTCTTTCCAAATGCCACTCAACAAAATGCCCGTGACCGCCAGTGTTTAAAGGCCATGGAGACCAGGAGCCCGCCACTACCCAGCCCCTTTTCGGCTCCATGAGAAGGTGATGAGCAACAGGGAAAATGTAGAGCTGCCCTCGAATTTCTGGTTTGTCTGTCTGTCATGCTGTTCTACAAATGCAGGCTAATGTCCCTGTGGCGACTGGAGCATCCTGAGCCCTACGGCCATGATGCCAGAACCTCCTGCTCCTACCTTCCCTGCCTGGAATGTCGTTTATCTGTACTGATCGTTGGTGTGGGCTGGCTGGAGGGAACACACTCATAAATCCACTAGGAGATTAAGAGACATGTACCAACACGAAACTGATCTGACTCTGTTTTCTTATGAAAAAGCAGAACAGAAGCCAAGGCAGGTGACCGTCACCCTTCGAATCCGTTGCCAGAGTGGCGTGCGCATCAGCTCAGAAGGGCAACTGGTGCTGTAGACCAGAGCCCGACCCTGAAGGCGAGGGAAGAACGAGGAGACCCAAAGTGGTTCCTTCCACCTCCTCCTTTTAGGGCCACTGGGTGCAGAGGCCTGGAATCTAAGAGAGAGTGTGAAGCTATAGGAGATGGAGGGAAATAAAAATGGGGAGAAAATCAGGTGGAGGGGTGCCACCAGCGTCCCTGTCAAACCTCAGTCTGACTTCAAGGCTGTTGAAAAGCAGCCACCCTGACATTGCGCCACAGCAGTGGTCTATTATGCAATACTGCCCCACGTGGTGACCAGGGATTGTTCCTATTTCTCAAGAATGAATGTTTTGAAAAAATTTAAATGGTTTAAAAGATGGCATAACTTGCAGATTAAAAGAGGGGGAAGCCAGAGCTTAGCAAGGCTATGCGACTGGCCCAATGCTAGACACCGGCAGAAAAAAGGCTTGGAAAAGCTCGGTTCACAACTCTAAACCTTTAGTGCTGCACCATGTCCTCCGCCACTAGCCCGTGAGAAATCAGGACATGGAAAAAAACCCAATGCTGAAATAAGACCCAATGTTGTCACCTTTTAAGTAACAGCTTTTTAAAAAGAATGTGACCAGAAGAGATCCTTGGAGTGCCCATGACCAAACTGACCAAGCCCGAAGGACCCTCCCTCCCTGCAAGTCTAAAATTAGTTGATGAGAAAATGAAAGAATGTAAATGTCAAAATTCAGGAAAGATGGGGAAGTCATATCCTAGAAATGTAAAATGGTCAAACCACTTTGTAAAGCTGTTTGGCAACTCTTAGAAAGCTAGACAAACATCCACCACACGGCCCAGCAATCATTCCACTCCTGGGTATTTACCCAAAAGAAATAAGAGCATGTGCTCATGCAGGACTTGTACACAAATGTTCACGGAAACAACCCAGATGCCCCCACCCGGGAGGATGAATGACACTGCGGCACACCCCGCCCACTGGAATACGACTCGGCAGTGAAGAGGAACAAACCACTGATACACAATATGGATGGATCTGAAAAGCATCCTGTTGAATGGAAGCAGCCAGACACAAAAGGGTACACACTATAGAATTCCGTTCTAGAAAAGGCAACCCTGTGATCACAAAAAGGAAGTTAGTGGCCTGGAATCCAGAGAGTAGGAAAACCGCTTATAAAAAGGACACCAGGAAACCTTCTGGGGTGATGGGAATATTCTATAAATCAACTGTGGTATTTACATGGATTTATACAGTTGTCAAAACTCACTGAACTGTGCACTTAAAGCGAGTACATGCTTCTGATATATAAAAAGTTGATCCAAAAATAAATACATAAATAAAAGTCCAGACCAGATTTTATGAGCTGCCTCTCAACCACTGTAATGTCTGCGAAGGGATTAAACACTGGAATGGAGCAAATCCAGGAGGATTAAACAGCATATTGGTGACTGCATGGGTGGCTAGGTCTTGAGCACAAACAAAAGAACACGCCAGGGAAAGCTGTGGTTCTACAAATAGGGAGGGAAGCAGCTCGAGCCTCACCAGGAATGAAGTCAATTGAACTTTAATCAAACATGCATAGTGTGTTCTGCGGAGACCCGCGGCACATAAATTCAGGGAACAAAAGCTGCTGCAGAAATCAATAGCTTACTGAAACATTAACACAGGCAGCCATTGATCAAACGCAGCTCCACAAAGGCAGCCTTGCAAATTAGCTCCTGCTTTGGCTTGCAGCAAACACAGGTATAAATGTTGTCGACATGAATGGCCTATAATGAGCATTTTGTTCCCGGCTCTCACCTCATCTCACAACAAGGCCTCACAGTCAACACACCTCACATCTCAGAACTCTAACTGCACACAGCAGGGGGAACTAAACTGGTTAAGTGCCTGGGCAAAAAGGAAAAGAAAGGGGTGGAGTCATCCCTAGTCGCCAGCACTATGGGCTGGAGCTCTTGCCAAGAGAAGTGCTCACATCCATTGGCTGATATTTACCAAATTCATTTGCTCGCGCTCTCCCCCCGCCCCCCATCTCTTTCCCCAACTCTTTTGCCTTTTCTTTTGGTGGAGGTGGGGGTGGGGGGGGTCCTCTGGATTTTCCTGACAGGCCATATGCACAGAGCCACTGGCAGTAAGAGACTGGCCCTGGATCTAGGTAGCAGCCCCTTCCTCCTGCAGGCTCTCTTCGCAGTCCCGAGGCAACCCTCTGTCAGGGCTGGGGAACTAGGCAGCATTAGGTTTCTCAGATTTTCCACCAAAATAAAAACAGGGGTGGGTGGTGCCACGCAGAGGAGAATGAGGAGGGAAGGAGACAAGTTGTTCAGCTCAGCGCTCTATCTGGGGGAGGTAGGGAGGGGGGAGACAGAAAACAAGACCCCGAGAAGAGTCGGGCTGACAAAGGCTCCGGGCACCAGTGCTCCATCGCAGGCCACTCCTGGGACCGTTAGGAGGAATGGCTCCTCCTCAGCCACCATCTTCCTCTGTGCCTCCTGGTGCCAGCCAGTGAGTCCATCAAGTTCACGCACACGGAACAGAAGCAACAGGGCTGCTCAGTGCTTACAGGTGCTTTCAGCAGAAGTCCCTTTCAGGTAAGACCTGCTGGGATGGCCTGGGCCCAGTTCTGCTTTAGCTCAGGTAAACCGGGCCGGAGACACATTCCAGGGCCCGAGTAGGCACAAGCAGGGGGGGGAGAGGAGGGAGTTGGCAACCTGCTGCAGGAGAAACCCTGACTGGGCCTCCTTCCCGCCCACAGCAGGCCCATTTACCTGCAGGCATGTGTTAGGCACAAACATAACTGCTCTTCAATATCCCTCCGGCACTGCAATGCTAAGACAGGGGAACCTGCGACCTGTCCTGCCCCATCAATTTCTTTTTAAAGTTAAGATACACTGCATCTCTTCTCTCAGGGACCACGGGGAAATGAAAGCAGAGAATAAAGCGTTGAAGAGGGAAGGTGCTGAAAGCATTTCAAGTATCAGAGGCTCATTCTCAGCAAGCTTGTCTGTCCGCAGTACTGAGCACAGAGGCAGGTGCCTCCAACCGAACTCCTTAGACAGGAGCTTTCTGGGGGAACTGATGTAGAAGCAAGAAAAGGGAGTCAATTACGGGCCGCTCAGTGCTTACAGGTGCTTTCAGCAGAAGTCC